TGTTTGCAGGCCCGAGGACTGGATGTCAGCAGAATGGAGGCCGACATTAGATGGTGAGGAACCAGAAAGGCCTCCTGATTACATTAAAGCCTTTTATGAGCTCTGATTCATTGAGGTTGGATTAAGGATTGGGCTGCACAACTAACAGAAATAAATAAAAATGCATCATGTGCAGTATCAAATCACAGAAGATGGCTCCACATCTTTTAATACTCTTCAGCAAGAATGTAATGAGATGCCAAAGTTAGTATTTCCAGCAACTAATGAATCCTACAGCAACATCTGTAGGAAGTTGAATGGATTTTGCCATATTGTGCAGCCCTAGTGAGCGTTTAGTTTCACTAAAAGAAACGGCATGTGAGCTGTGTAGCTAATGTGTTCCTCTTTTCTTCAGGTTTGAAAGGATGACTCCATGTTTTGAACATCAAATACTATACTGGTGAGTACAGTGCTTTTATATATATATATATATATATATATATATAATCATTTAATTAAGTTTATCATTCCTGGAAGTCAGTGATGATTTATGTATAAGAGTAGTGGACAGATGTGATTTCTGAGACATTTAACACTGAGGCTTCCTGGTTAAAGCTATATTTGAGTTGAACCAGTATGGTAATGTTACTAAAAGATTAATTTCCACAGGTTTGGAGAAAATCCAGAGACATGAGGCAGTCGGGTGGTGCTGAAAGAGGTGAGGCTCACATACCTCATGGCAGTTCAGATGGATTTATGCTTCTCTGAGATGTCCTTGATTAGTTTTTACTGGCTTTTCAACCGATTTAGTCATTTATTTTACTGTGTGGCTTTAAGATTGCCCATAAAATGGCCTTTACTGTCTCTCAAAATGAAAAGTAATGTATAAAATGCCAAGCAGACATGTGGCATTTTATGTTTAAACACCCAGAGAAGCATCAGTCTTTATCCCGTACATTGTCCCTGTGCTTCTATGATGACTCTTATTTGCTACTCTTGACAAGATGGATGACGATACAAACAACCCACCAGTTGACCCGTCTGAGGCACAGAACTTTATGCTTTGCAAGTGTAAGATTATTGTTTTTGATTTCTCATTTTATATTGTGTTCCTGCAGGTGCACTTCAGTTGCATAGACCTTTCTACAACACCAGAGCAGGTAATGGCCCACTTTAGTTCAACTTTACCTAGTAGTTTTCCAAACTGTCAATGATGAGCTTGTTTAAAACACACAATGGGAATCTCTCTGAAAAAGAATGAAAGAGGACTCTAAACTGATGCAGTGCAGATTGAGAAACTCCTGGATATAACTTTAGTTTGTAGTTTCTAATGTTTCCCGTTTGACTTGTAGATGGTGCTCACATCCGTTGATCTGGTTCAGAAGATTGGATCATTACAGGTGAGTTGACTTTTGTGCTTTAAACATCTAACATGGCCTGACACAATGATGATCCCATAGTTCAGCGGATTAAACCATGATGAATATCTCAGCTTGTCTTTCGCTCCTAGCTGATGTGTCGGCCTCATAACCAGTGAGGCTGTTTGACTTCTGAAGTGATCTCTAACTTCTATTTCATTTTCAGGAACGGGAATGTCCGGCAGTACAAAAGGCAACATGAAGGTGAGCTGATGTAACTGAAACTGATATCAAATAATCTTTAATGATACTTGATACAATGATGATCCCATAGTTCAGCGGATTAAACCATGATGAATATCTTTGCTTGTCTTTCGCTCCTAGCTGATGTGTCAACTATAACTATCTTATAGCCTTCAAGTGTTCAAAACAGCATGATGACAATTGTCTCTTCATCCACAGACATGAAACCTTGCTGTCAAGAACCATCACATCCCTGGTGGTAAGTAATGTCTAATATTGGGTCTGTGCAGCTAATATCATTCAGAAATGATGCATTTGAATCAGGTCACTGATCCAGTTGAAGATATTAGTCATTTATTCTGATCTGGATGGTTTATAGGGAAAGAATTGTAACCCTGTTTAGCTTAATTCACATTCAGCTATTCTATCTTTGCAGAGAGCAGTTGGTATCATGGTGGTCTGGAGCACAAGATGTCGCACTAGCATGGTGAGTATTTGAGTGATATTTAAAGCGCTTCAGGCCTGAATGACTAGAGTTGGTGTCTTAAACTAGTTTGCTGCCTTGTTGAGATCTAAGCCCTCAAAATGGGCATCTTTCAATGAAAATGAATCCCTAAATGTACAGATTTGTCCCCAAACTCTACCTTATCTGGGCCTGAAGAGCTGCACATGTACATTAGTGGGATTGTGGTTGCTGTTGTAGTAAACCCTTTGATCCCTGTAGACTGACCTGTGTGATGACATAGTACAGACTGACAATAAACCATGGAGTCATGTGTATATTAGCTCTAACTGAACCTGGTCAGTGTCTAACTGTTTATCCTGAGGTTTGTTTTCATATTAAACTTATGCTGTCCTGTCTCTCCAGGTGATGCCTCCTCACTTGGCGGCTGATTTAGAAGGGAAGATACAAGATGAACTGAGGTGAGTGCGCAAATACTCCCACGTTATACAAAATGGCTGCCATGGGTTCAGTGATGTACTTAACAAATGTCTGACCTGAATTTCAATGTGGAAAATGTGTTACTGAGAAACCCAGTGAGTTCAATCTCAATGAACCAGTCCCTGATGTGTAATAAGATTGTTTTCTTTCCAATCTCCAGGAAGGAGCTGATCTCAGACACTGATCTTGGTAAGCATTATAAAGTCTTTAAAAAGCCTCAAGTGCCCATGTTCAGTTCTATTGGTTGGCATTAATGTTGCTGATCGAAACTGTTCTGTGGGTGTCAGAAAACAAGATTGCATTGGCCACTTTCTGTGATGAAAAGATTCTGCCAAATGATGTCCATTGATTATAACCCTTACCGTTCCATATTTTCTGAGATACTGGTCAGTAAACCCTGTTGTGTCCTGATATGTCCCCCTCTGGATTTTTAATGAGAAATGTTTGTCCTTTAAGGATGCAGAGGTGAAGCCTGGCCTTGAAGCACTTCAAGTGATTTGCTGTTTGGATGGAGACCTGAGGGCCTGTGGACAACCAACAGTGTCAATATTGTACAACATTGTCAATAAATACTGAAAAGAAATATTGTGCCTGTGTCTTGTTGGAGGGGAATGATGCAACCTGTACTGAATGTTTACGTCTTTGTCAATCATCTGGCAGTGAAACTATTTGCCAGTAATAAACACAAATTCAAAACGAGAATGATACAAGAGCTAAATTAAAATATACTTTATGTATTTATAATTTTGGCACGTTGAAGTGATTTCTTTAAGACCTCACCGGAAGCTACGTAGTTACCACACTTCCGGTTTGACGTCTCGCGATAGAAGCGTCCGTACACCAAAGGTGGCTTTGTTTTATGTCCCCGGTCTCCTCACACGGGCGGCTAGTGCTCAAAAAACCTCCCTGTTGTGGGCCAGTACTTCCACTCAATAGAAATGCAGCTCCATGGATACAGGAAGGCGGGTAGTAGCGACCCCGTTTAAGACGGGCGGAGCTAAGTGACTACAACCCGCCCGTCCGCTTATTAAACAAAAACAAGCGCCTCTCCTTGTCTCGGATGGGGGAGAGGGGTAAATATCCACACTGAGCGGGCCGCCAGCACACGGCCAGATTTAAATAAATGGGAGAGGGAGACCTGGACGCGGTGTTCAGTCTCGTTTCGACGGCCTCGGACCAGCCCGTTCACCGATGTCTGTGCGGTGGTTGCTGCCCGTCCTCTGGGCTCTGTCCGCGGAGGCAAACTTCTTCCACTTCGACAGCATCTCCAATGTCTCCACTTACTATTTTAATTACATTTATTGCAATATATGGGAGGGGGATTGTCAGCCCAACCAAGACGATGCTACACAGCAAGGTAAGACACCGACAGGGAAGCTATTATTATGTTATACTGAAATATATAAATTTACCTCAATGTGTACACTGTCTATTATGCATGTCACACTCCTCCATTTCCTCCTCATTGACTATCTTGACTCAGTGATGTGTTATATTACATATTACTACATTACATTACCATATAAGCTGACTGCTTGTGTTCCTGTTCATGTGAGCAGTTCCTACCAGGGACCTTTGGGCAGGTTTTCCTCAGGACTACGTTAGCCTGCTACATCAGTGGTACTGTAGTCTGGGCCAGTGCTGTGAATCTGGAGACTGCAGGATAACCAACAACATCACAGGTAATCACACTACAGCTGTCTGCTTATATGGCCCCTGTGCCTGTGTGATGAGTGTCACTGTTACACATTGTTTTACTTTAATTCAGTGTGTGTGTTGCCTGATGGTCTGTTTTTATTCTAGTTATACATTCGCAGCTCACCATCTGTGTTCAATCAAACAGAGGCAGCTTGTGAAAGTGTTTATAACAATGAAATCAGTCATAAAAGTTCCTTTAACAGGCTTACTTTTGCTCTGCATGCACTAGAGAGGGCAGATAGCAGCAGGTTTACTGCTTTCAATGGCAATAAACAATTATATAAAATGCTCCTTTTGACGGGAATACGTGTCACATCCGTACAGAAAAGTATTTTAATATTTTACACAAGTTCAAACTGATACTGACGTGTAGTTCAGGGTTCTACACGCTTTATTATGTACTTATTTTAGCATTAAAGTGCACCAGCCCATTGTAGTTGCACCTATAAAGGGTCAGCAGGCTTTATTTCCATTTGTTAGCCGTTCATTAGGTGCATAGTTACACACTGTTTGTTGGTTTTCTTGATTGACCTTTGCTATTCAATATCAGACCTGTCACAAAACATTGAATATCTCTGCTTAACTGCAGTAACATGCCAACAGATGTTAGGAGCCTTGTAGAGCTTCTCAACTTAAATATAATTTCAGGAGCTCCTGCAACAAACTACTGCATGTGATAAGGTTTGCAAGATTGTGCAAATGACGGCAGGTTTATATCATAGGTAAATCCTCTACATCTGTCCACCTGTGACTTAAAGGGTCCTGCATTAATAGCTGGTGCATCACATACACATAGACTCATTCATAGACACTGTAAAAGATTATGGGTATTCAGGGATTATTCTGCATCGGGTGCTGCCTTTGTTAAGCATGTTCTCTGTTCTGTGCAGGCCTGTCGACGGACCTTCAGACCAAGCTCCACGGGCAGCACCTGGTCCAGTCTGTGGTTCTGAAAGCCATCCAGGGTTTTATCAACAACCCAGAGTCCAACAAGCCTCTGACACTCTCCTTCCATGGCTGGTCCGGCACTGGCAAGAACTTTGTGGCCCGGATCATTGCTGATAACCTGTATCGTGACGGGGTGAAGAGTGAGTGTGTCCGACTGTTCATCGCCCCGTTCCACTTCCCCCACGCCAGACTGGTGGACACGTACAAGGTAAGACGTGCAGGGGCCCTCTCCGCACAGAGTTTGACACTCTGTTCCAGAAACATGCTGGCAGTGTTGCTGGAACCCCCGCTGGCTTAGTCAGTTGTTTAGTCTGTGTGTTGTAATTCAGCGTATGAATGATAACGATCACGGTTTGGACGGATGGTTCAAATCAAACATTGATCCGCGACATCCACGTCTTTTTGGAACCTGGCATTTGTCCAACCAGGTGACAGGTGCCAACGTGGGCCCATCTAAACAACATTTTTACACAATCATTGAATTAGATTTCAAAATAATGTTGACACAGCATTATTACACAAATGGATCCAGATGTAACAGGATATAGTACACAAGATAACCTTTAAACTAGTTCTGCAGAATCTGGACTGTTTCTGCTACAGTTGTTGATAAGTTCTTCCCTTTAAATGAGATTTAGTTTAAGGTATGTTTAAGACAGTACAAGAAGTAGCAGAATTAAAATACATGAAGGTTTTAGAGCACATTCTTTTCTACAGAAGCTATAAATGTCTTTAATATCTTTCTTAACCTTTAATTACACTTGAAAGTGTTAAACCAGACTCAAATCCTTAACACAGTCAAGTTTGTTTTCATTTTCCTTTGTGGCTCTTAGAGATTTTAGTAAGCTTTGGTCTTTCTCTCTGCATGCAGGGTCAGCTGAGAGAGGCAATTCGGGACATGGTGTTGCGCTGCCCGCAGACTTTGTTCATCTTTGACGAGGCTGAGAAGCTTCACCCAGGCCTCATCGATGCCATCAAACCCTTCATGGATCACTATGACAACGTAGATGGTGTCAGCTACCGCAGAGCCATCTTCCTCTTCCTCAGGTTGGTTTTATATATCGGGCACGTCCTGTCTGCTCAAGCTGGGTCGGACAGACTCAGAGTGTATTTCCCCTCTGGCCCAGGTATTCTGACAGCTCATCTGTAATGAAGGATGTTTCTCCTTCTGTCTCCATTAGTCCTCTTTATGGATTTTTCATGTTTTCAGTTACTCATGCCTGATTTCTGCTGACAGATAATCTGTTCAGTCAAATATAGAAACGCATTTTTTACCCTTATGTAGAAATGATATGATGTAGGAGACACTACTATAAGAAACTATGGTAAAAATTTTTATTTAATTTTAATTTTAACAGAAAGTCCAATTGAGATCAAAATCTCTTTTACAAGAGAGACCTGGCCAAGCTAGCAGCCATACACATTCACAACATATTAAAATACAACATAATATACAAAACCAACAATAAAATATAAGAACAACTCTTCTAACACTTAAGAAAAACAACCACAACCGTAAACAACCGTATAAATTTGTTTTTATATTATAGATCTTTTTGAAGATTATACCATGCCCCAAGATGCATCTAACAAAACCAGGAGTACATTAAAAGCAACTACTTGGAGGAACATAGCTGGTAACTACCAGAGCTGAGACAGAGAAGGGTTCAAAGACTAATAATAATCATGTTAAAATTGATTTTTAAATAAAGTTCTCTAATTTGTTCAGATCACTAATCTGTGAACATTTGTCCCAAGCACAATCTATGTTTAAGAAAATACATTAACTCTCCTTCTACTGCTTTGGACTGACATGCCTGTTGTCTCTGCAGTAATATTGGTGGAGCAACAATCAATGATGTAGCGCTGGACTTCTGGCACTCCGGTCAAAATCGAGAGGACATCGGTATGGAAGACCTGGAGCATCGGCTACGAGCAGAAACTATGGAGTCTCAAGGTATGCTGCAGTGCTAGCTCTCACATTAAAGCCAGTCTTTTCTATCATCATTTCAAACATTGATTGGAGTTTTTTGTGTTGTTCTCTTCTCCAGGTGGGTTTGCTCAGAGTGAGCTGATGTCTGGTCACTTGATCGACTTCTTTGTGCCATTCCTGCCTCTGGAGTACCGCCATGTCAAGCTGTGTGCACGGGACGCCTATGCAGCACGAGGTCTGGAGACGGATGAAGCTACGCTGGATGAGGTGGCCAAGGCGATGCTGTACGTCCCCAAAGAGGAGAGACTGTTCTCAGCCCAGGGATGCAAGTCCATACCCCAGCGGATCAACTTCTTTCTCCCCTAGAAGGAGAGACGGACGGACAGAGAGACCTGGAGGAGGAGGTGTGAGATTGCTTTACCAGCCCATCTGCGTACAGAGCCATACAGGAGACCTTCTCTGCCCTGCACTGCTCTATGTACTCCCAACCCCACCCACCCCTGCAGATACAACACGTATCTGTCCAGGTCCCTCAGAGAAGGCCAGGCAGCAGGGCAGATCCAGTGTGAGAGAGGAAAGCAGCACGACCCACCCTGCAGACATGAGTAGAGCCAGACAGTCATCATGTGCAGTGTGGCTGCTCCTCCTCACCTGCCTGGTTTGAATCCTCACAGTGTGAAGAAGATGGTATTAGTGGTTGTGCAGTGTATGTCGTAGAGGAATACTGATTTTTTTTTTTTGGTCACTATTTATGTCTGTTCATCTTGGTCTGTGTTACACTGTTTTTTAATGTTTATGTCAATATTTGCATGTCAGACATATATTAACACTGATTATTTACTTGTGCCATATTTGAACATCTTACTGTGCCCAATTGTTTTTGTGGAGTTGATGAATGCACATTTGGTGGTACTGTAAGCCATGAGTAAATATTAAATGGCACTGTGGTTTGAACGGTAGGCAGTGTGTAACAGCTAACGTACATGGTGCTGTGATGCAAATCATACTTGAAATAGTTACTGGAAAAGTGTCAGAAGCAATGAATCGTTTTGAAAGTTAGCTTTTATGTGTAAATATGTTTAATGACCGTGCTTTTAAGAATTTATTTTTTATTGTTTGATTTGATTCTTTCATATGAACCTGATAAATGTCTATCACCATCATTACATAATATACTGCTTTTAATTTGGGGCATAACAAATGCATTTTATCTATTCACTGACTTGCTTTGATCTCTATCATTCAAGCATTCCTGTTCACATACTCTCACACAGGTCTGAGTTGGTCTGCTTTAGTGATTGTGTTCTCTAAAGCTCAGGGTTTCATCACAAGAACAACGTGAGAAGAAATGGTTTTAAGAAAATAAATATCCACAATAAACCAACAAGAGTTGTTTTTATTTAATGCAATCATTTGTCAAAAAATTCAAGTAATATCAATTCGGTGTTGCATGCGAGGTGCCTGTTATCTTTCTATTTCTTTAAATAGTGGAGGCACAGCAGAATCAGAAACACTTTTATTGGCCAGGTATGTGTACACATAC